AATCACTGGGACCGGGGGGGGAGGGAGGGTTTTCCGGCCAAGCAAAACGGCCCATTGCCTCCGAAATTTTCCAAACGGACTGGGGCGCGAACGCGGAACCGTAAATGTCGCAGTCTCTGTGCGAGCGTTGCTCGTGCGCATGCACTCACGTTTAAGCACCGTATTAGTGCACTTGGCCGCGTAGAAACAAGGCGGCGATTCACCACCCAACGTGCCAGTGATCGGGTTGTTGTTTGTAATGGCAAAAGGATTAAACGCTCTTCGCTTTCTTGCTTTTCCGTGAATTTTCTTGCCTATGAAAGCAAAAAAACAAATTACAGCCCGACAGTTTCATCTCTGAAAGCCATGTTGCCAGAGCACTGAATTGTCAGTCAACGTGATCCTGTGGTTGCCCGACCTTAAATCTCAGATTCAAACCCAGAAATTCAACTTTTAACGTCAGAATTATACTGCTGGCAACTAAAGTGTGTCCCCACGGACTTGTGGTAGCGGCATTAATAAATAGATCTTAAAGATCTTATAATTAAAATCTTTTTTTTAAATTAGAAAATATCCTTTCCTCAGTTGTAAAATTTAAAGAAGATGCATTTTTGCTGTCAACTAAGTACAAGGAAAGAGATTTTGTGCATTATTCTGCAATGCATATTTGAATTTTAGGGACGCCCAAAACTAATGAGGAAAAATGACGCTACTTAGATGGTTGTTTTTACGGAGTGTAGTTTTTGCAGGCTGCCAGACAGAAGCATGCTCATAAGCTGACGTTTTTACGTGACTGAAATGTCTTTGGATTACGTCGCAAGATAATTATTATTACGGCCGTACTTAAGTAGTATTTTCAAAGTAAAAACATATTCTATGAGATAGCATGGACGCGAGCGCTCATGCATAGACCACTTAGTTCACATACGAACTCTGTCGGTCAGATGTCTGGGCCACGCGTGACACAGCCCTCGGCGTGGTAACGGTGTGACGCCGATACAAGCGAAAATTCAAATTCCATGAAGTATTCGATAAGAGAAAGATTCAACCGCTGAAGCAAGAAACTGATTCGCTTGACATTTCCGATTTACATGATAGCACACACCCCAGGACAGCAGCAGAAAATGGTAGCGGGTGTGGGGGGTGTCGAATTTATACTACCAGGCCATCGCCTCCAAAGAGCATCCGAACGCCGCCTCTCTGATCATATAAATCATGACGAGGTGGAAGGAGGATTAGGAGGAGGGTGAGAGGGAGCGGGAGGGGGAAGGAGAGGGGAGGAGGAGGAGGAGGAGGAGGAGGAGGAGAAGGAGAAGAAGAAGAAGTAGAAGAAGAAGAAGAAGAAGAAGAAGAAGAAGAAGAAAGACCCCTGTCTGATCTCTACTGACGTCTTCGTCCCTCGCAGTGATTTTGATGAGTCAAACACCGAAGTGCTCGCAAAAGCAGCAGATGGCATGCAAGTTGCCCGATCAGCATGAAAGTAGCTACGTAAGGATGTCATATCAACGCGTTGGAAACACCTCAGATAAGCGGGAGACAATGTTTTTGACTTTCAGTATCTCCACCAATTATATGGATTGAATGGTCACACGCGCAATTTCGCCAACCATTGTATGCGAGAAGGGGCCGACAAACCAAACGGCATTTGCTCCAATTTTTGCGAGCTGCTTCACACATCAGGAACGTGTTCGAAGCCGTCGGCCGTCTTCTCAAGCTACTCAGAAAGGCGGTTGTGCACAGACCGGAGGCGATATTCAGTCGCCCAGTAATGCGGCTGAATGATCCATCCACACGTCAGGGTACATTTGGAGTCGATTTTTACATCTCGTGAAGGTTGGAACACACTGGCTATTTCGGAGAGACTCCGAGATTATTCTGGACGCGGGTGACCGAACACGCGCAAGCACTGAGACAGAGTGACGCCAAACCTATAATTGTGACTCATTCGACGGAGCCCAGTCATAATCCATGGGTTTGTCGAACCGTGATTTCTTGCGCGGGGTAAAATCTGTGGGGCTGCCAGTTTCTTGCGCAGTGCTTCTTTGGCCTACAGTCCACCAACAGACATAATGGTTTCCCTTCGTATTCAGCGCTATGACTTTGCCTGAGCAGAGCTATAAGCCACCCAAAGGGAGCGCGAACGAGCACTGTTTCCAGCGGCGGTATCGGTGAGCCGAATTGTCGACAATTTGTCGTGCCAGTAACCAACATATGCGACGCAATAGCGACTATTAACCACCCATGTTAGTGAGAGGATCACCTAATCATCTCACAATGTACGAGTGACCGCGATTGAAAAAGGGGTTTGCTAATTTTAATAGGTTATGATGAGCAGCAACTAAATCAGAAGAAAAAGATACGATCACTGGAACAAGAAGTTTATTGGCCTGACGTTTCAGAATCTCACTCGAACCTATAATCAGAGACGGTTGCAGATAAAAGTAGAGGAGGCCCAAAGACTGCAGTACGCAGCTGCCGTGGGGTCACATATGTTTTATAATTAACAGCTCTCGTGATCACCGCTTGTGGTCGTAATTGAGGCGATTATGGCTCGTCAGTCCGCGTCCGAGTCGTTGATTGCCACAATTTCATCATCCGCGTTGGATCTTGACGTGACGATTTCTCGGTAATTTGGCCCGGACGCTCGCTTGCGCCCTCCCAACGTGACTGATTTCCCTGCTCAGGAAACGTCTCAGCACCGAATATGGTACTGGGAGGTCACTGCGCTTGTTGATGGATTGCGGGCCTGAGGGACGTTATCTGAGCAGGTCACGGTTCAGCTCTTGCGAGGATTTCGGCCTCTTTGAACTTGAAAATATGGCCGGGTTTTGTGAAATGAGTCGCCACATGACAGTTGTCATCTTTCATCCTCACCGCTGCTGCGTGCTCAGCCATCCGCGTCCAGAGTAATCTCCCAGTTTTCCCGACGCATTTTCTCTGTCCGCAACTGAAATAGATCCGGCAAACGACTCCAGACGTCTCCTGCCATGGCAGTGGGTCTTACGGGCTCATGACCTGGTGCCTGATGGTTGCTTCCGGCCTGTGCACAACCCCAACTCCGAATGGTGCGAATTGGAGTCGTCATCTCGCCAGGTACGAGTAAGTGCGGTGATTAGGGATCTTGCTAATTTTAATAGATCGCGGTGAACAGCAATTACTTCTTGCAAATTCTGTAACTGCGCCGCGTCTTCTACCTTCATCTATCGCTCTGTCAGATGATGGGCTTCAGGGTGAATACGAAACATTAGGCGGATAAGATCCTTATGCTGGCAGTCGAGTCTCCTTCCTCTCAGACTGACGATGGTTGACAGTTTGGTGCTCAATGACTGCTCAAAGCCGGACATGACTCAGGCCTCCGCTGATAGTTCGGGCGTTCCCCGCCCGAAAAATAGTCCTCATTGTGGCTGATCCACCACTACTGCTGGCCGTCTTCTCGGTTTCCGATTCGGAAAACCCGTCATTATCACCTCACCTATTACTGGCCTCCTGATCGGGATCACATGGCATTAATGACAAGTTGAACCTTCTTGGTGGTAGATCCCAGATTGTGGTCCCACTGCGTAGCCGAGATGTTTGTCCCTGCTTTATACCCATCACCAAAAATTTCCACAAAATTATTTACTCAACCTCCCATGAATTGAATTCACTCAAGGGAAGAAAATTTAAACGTATCATTTCAAGAAATCCACGTATAACAAGATACTAAGGAAACATTCTGCATGTCAGAGTACTGAAGAGAAATTTCATGGAAAAAAACCCTACACAATGATGGCCACCACCCTATAACTCGGAAACGGTGTCCCAACAAAGCTATCTTATTTGACCAAAAGCTCGTTCTTGTAATGACCCGCATCGGACTGCACTTCCTTTTCAGACCATTTTTCTAAAGTTCAGATTCATGATACTTCACAGGTGGATGCAAAAGGTGTACGAGACAAAAAAAGAAACCGGTGACTCCACCCAGGTGCCTAAACCAAAAATTTGGCGTCTACAATAGATCATGCAGTGCCTGCAATGCGTCTTATGCGGTCAAGATGGGAAGTCGCTTCAACACCAACATTAATTGGGAGCAATGTGAAGAGACGGCCGGTTCCATGTAGACGTTTATGTCTGGGTGGAGCTTTGTCAGAGCCAACTCTATCCCTGTGAACGTCCGCCCATTCAAAGCTTTCTAAACAAAAAAACAAGTGGGTATTATTGACTTATTTGGATTAATTCATTTTGACAGATTGGGCTCCACCGTCGGCACATGGTGATTTGAGAGGCTGATGATAAAGAGGCACGGCCGGTGACCAGTTTCGCGGAATCTTAACAGAAATTCAGAAACGACTTAGTGGTCAGAAATGACTACTTATGCGGGATTGTAACATTGATTACCATGTTGCATAATCCGAAGAAATGTCAATCACGCCAGCCTCTTTCCGACTGTCTGTAAAACGCCCCACTACGTAAACGTGACTACCTAATAAGCATGAATTTTCCATTGATTTTCGATGTCAACTTAAATTCAAACATATTTTACAGACGAACATGTACAAAAATATTCCTTCTCGTATTCCTTTGGGGGCAAGTCACGTTTTATTCAAAATTTATGTTCGACGAAGGGGTTTCTTTCGGCATTAAAACCGTGAAACGGCCGTTTAACCAGCTTTGTGCCTTTCGGTTTATAAACGCCACTTATGAAGTATGCAGCACGGTCGACAAATGGTCCATGTTATGTACCCTAAATGGCGTCGTGTTAGTGGCTAAGAGGATTGCATGATTTCCCCACACGGAAGGTGCGCAACTTGTTCACTGCAAATTCTGGACTCCCGCGCAACAGCAGATTGAGCTCCAAATCATTCGGCATATGCAAAACGTTTTTAGCATAATAGCTCTTTTCGAGTAGAAAATTTGAAGGAGACATAATTTTCTACAGAAGTAGTACACAGGAAGATATTTTCGAGTGCCTTCTGCAAAAAAAATTAATAAATTGGGGGTCATTGAAGAAAATGCGGCAACGGTGGGATAACAGGCCTCATTTGATTGTCGTTAGACTGTGGACAGTGTCATACGGGAATGGTGATAACATGGATTTTACGGGTGGGGCAGAAAGCTAGACAGTAAACTGACGAAATTTAAGAAAACGCAGAAATTGATTGAATTTCTGACGAAAGAATTACCGCGCGCCTTTGCACGTTAGCGGAAATGGGCACGTCAGTAAAAAAAACCAGCAAAAAGAAAATTTTCAAAAAATCACGGGGTTTGAGTAATAGTTGTTGGTCGCTGGAAGCGAGTGATGTTAGCAGTGAAGTGTCTGCAACGGCCTGAAAATGTATACCCAGATAGAGCTCTCTGTGATACGATCCACAGTCTGCCGACAGTTAATTGGCGTCATTCACCCTTTCATTGCCGAAAATGCATACTGGGCAAGTAGTCATTTTTTTTAACGAGTATGGTTTCCACAGACGACCAAAAAAGTGCATTTGAAAGCCGACATTCTGGTGTGACCGAAATGTTACGCTGTTACTCTGCAAAATAATCTGTATTACAGCCTGATTTAAGTAATCCTTCCAAATAGACAGAATTTCGACTAACATTTCATTTGTCGCTGCAGGTCGAATACAGTGAGTGATCGATCTCATGAAATGTTGACCGAAATACGTTTTTGGTTAGGTAGGATTACGTAGGTACGGTTACAATATGGATTATTATGCGGCATAATCCTAAAATGCTTTGTACTCGCCAAGATGTCAGCTTTCGATTGCAGTCCTTTTTGACCTCCTTTAGAAACCGCACTTGGTCAGAAATGACTGCTTAAGTAGCATGTATTTTTCGCATTGATTTCTGACGGTCTTATAAATTCAAATATATTTTATAGAAAACGCGCACAAAAATATGCTTTCTTTTACTCCTTTGATGGAGAATCACGTTGTCTTTAAATGTTTAACCTAAATAGGGTATACCTAGTTTTTGAAAAAGTTTTCAATTATGAGATTTTTAAGACCCTGTAATGTCCATTCATACAGCATCGTACATGTCCGTTTGCCAGTGCTTCTCATAAAATAAAGAACATAGTCCGCATCCATTGCGATATATAATAAATTCCACATGGCATCTTTTCAAAGGTGTAGGGGAATATATGATTCTCCCATGCCGAAAGCAAGCACCTAGAAAACTGAAATCGATAAAAGCTAATGCAAAGGCTGAACAGCCTCAAAATTATTCTGGCATAATGAGACTTTTTCAAAACCTAAATCTACCATTTCTTAAGGTAAGAAAATTAAAGGCAACGTGATTCTCCACCAAAGGAGTAAAAGACAGCATATTTTTTATATGTTTTCTATAAAATATATTTGAATTTATAAGACCATTAAAATCAATGTGAATAACACATGCTACTTAAGCAGCCAGTTCTTACTGAGTGCGGTTTCTACAGGAGGTCAAAAAGGAGTACATTCAAAAGCTAACATCCTGGCGAGTACGAAACATTATTTGGTTATGCCGCATAATAATCCATATTGTAACCGTACCTAAGTAATCCTCCCTAATCAAAAACGTATTTCAGAATTTCGACCGAAATTTCATGAGATCGGTCACTCAGTGTATGTGGGGGTCCAACTCATGACAAACCCAGTGTAGTCTTACCATAGTAGACTGATCACCATCAATGGCGCCGCGATTTCGCAGTTGGCAGAACATTAGGGCCCCGCACTGGATGGCTTCCTCGAGAGAAGTCCAGGATGCAATCACGAATTGCAAAACAATGCAGAAATGGAAACAGGATGTTCATAAAGTCTTCCTTGACTCTAGCCTTTAGCAGGCTAACCAAGTACCGTAATCGGCACTCGGTAGCCCAAATACTGACGTTATTTTGATTTTCTTTCTATTTCCACGAAGGCGAAATTTTTTTCAGTTTTCAGTTTTACTTGAAGTTAACAACCTTGTGAAATGGAACGACTTTTAACCTGAACGCATATTAAGTGGGGACACTTTTTTATGAATGTTAGTGTGTAACTAGGAATGTTATGAATGCTAGTGTGGATTAGGAACTTCTGAAACAACAGGCGAAAGTTCAAATGAAGTAGCCTCAATAGTGCGCGGAATCCGGCTATGTGGATAGTAGCCTTTTATCACAAAATCATGTTTTTCAGATTAACCTTTCCCTTCCGTTCAACGTTTAATTATACCTTGCTGTGCGCTAACAGGAATTTGCGATTTTTCCGCCTGATTAGATTCTGTTCAAGTGCAAGGTTAGCTTCCGCCGTTATAAGCACTACCGGTTTTATGTACTTTTAGACACGAGAAAACTTGAATATGCGTACCCTGTTCTGACGACAAGAATATGCCGTCGCGGGTTAGACATCGCATGTTACGGTTTACCAGAGCGAATCATGCGCTCTCTCTCTGTGCGTTCTTTCTTATCGTTGGTTTGAGTAACGCTCGTCGCCTGAGCTAGTCCTTCTTCATTGTTTCGGCGTTTGATGATTCTTCGGCAAATCGTGTTGCTTTCGTTCTCCCTCCTCCGTCATTGCAACCGAGAGTTCGCCATCTCTGGAAAATAGCGATCTTCGCAAGTCAAACTGAAAAAGGTTCACAAGCAGCAATTAATATTGTTATCCGTATGGTAAATAATTGCACAGTTTTATACTACCGACTGCCTGTTGGCAATTTGTGAATATTACGCGGTTATTTCGCAGTAAATGATGGATTTTGGCTCAAATAATAATATCAAACTTCGGACCGTGCCTGAAAAGGTATGTTTCGAAAGATTTACTCCAAGTTCGCGCACTAATTTCCTTGGAAACTAAACAAGGCAGAGCGAAACTGGAGTTCAAATACTAGAAAACACGGGGAAGGCTGCGGGACCCACTGATGAACCGAACTCCTCGCATTTGCGTCAGGCAGCAGCATAAGATCGGAGAAACACGCGTGTCTGGGCTTTTAATTTTTACCTGTGTTGTCCGTATGGTAAAAAATTACACAGTTCTATGTGTACATTATTTTAAACGAATTCACATGCGAGTTAGGGAATTTCCGGCTACCTGCGAAAACTTGTGTTAGAGATACACATCACCAACAACTATTATTTATCTCTGAAATAAACAAGGAGAACTCTTTTCCCGAAAGGAACCCTCTGGTCACTTACCACATAAAGCTCGAACTACAGCACGCATAAAAATATTTTTCCCATGAGCTCGAAATATATTTTGTCATATTAATGCATAAAAATTACTCTGTAGATGCTTTAACGAGGCATTTTTTCGTAAAATCCCATTTCTACCACTTTCTCGGACTACACGTCTTCTCCGTGTTTATAGAATATTTTTTACAAATATTAACCGTTTAAAACAAAACAGACCGCTACACCTAACAGAACGTCAGATTTTCATGAAGAGCAAGGATTCAATTCCGAATCAACAGGCATACAAACATACATCGACAAGTTGACCACTGCTTACTTTGATGTCCGCCGAATGCGCCACTACAGGATGGAAGCAGAGACGGCAAAGTGCGCGTGATTTCTTTTATAGTGACAGTGGACTTGCGATGCGTCAACCGCACTCTCTCCTCTTCTCCCACCTAAACTCGGCGTCATGGTAGAGTCAAGGAGACTGGTGGTGAAAGAGGGCGCAGGCGAATAAAACGATGCAAACCCGCACCTAAGCGCTTGCCGTTACACCGGACTGGGACACCGTTGAGTGGGAGTGTCATAGAGGTCACATTAAGAAGGAGCCATTGTAGCTTGACTCTCATTCCAGCAGCTGGCCACTCCACATAAAAACATATTCTGGGCCGGCTGCGAGGTCCGAGTTATCCTGTCAGTTGGCAACCTACCAAGCCACGGCCTTTAGCGCACCGTGATTGTCCTCAGCACATTAAATTGTTCCCAGTGAGGAACTATGCGCAAAGAGACGACCTCAAGCACCTTACCCTATCCCGTATACCAGTCGCCTGCTCAAGACGGTATACGAGCCGATGCTGAGATAGGAAGAGAGGGCTGAATGAGCTGACACAACAGCTCGAATACGCGTGCCACACACACGATTTGGTGCCCCATACGCGCGTACCAGTATTCCACACACAAGGGTACAACAACCACGTGGACGGAGGTTACGATGATGTGGGATGTTGCAGATGTTTACATGTGGTGCTTGAGTTAGTAGGAGAATATCTGATGGTTTACAGCAGACCCTAGTGAGGGCGCATTTGTCCAATGCCGTGTATGGATGTGCGTGGTCACTGATTACGGTAAAGGCGGGTTCGGTGTGTATGTGGGGTTCCCTGACACTGGCGGGCCGGCTGAGGTGCACTGGATTCGCAGTTGACCCGCCAGGCTGACGCGTCAGTTGAATTTACAATCGCAGAGAGGAGAGGCTGAGACCGAGTCCACATCACTGATGGCGAAGGCGGCGATAGTAAGAGTGAAGGCTGGTGAGCCTTCGGTAGCGTTTTGATCGATGGTTGGAGAGGGCGACGTGGTGGCGCTAGTCGCAACGGAGATTGTGGCAGGAATGATGGAGATGGCGGCGGGACACGTTGATGTTGGGCATCGATGGGGAGGTTGGTCGCCGCCGTGGGCGTTCGAGCAGGGCATTCGGACAGGCAGCAGTTGGGCTTGGTGGCTCCTGGCGCACTAGGTGTGGAGACGTCTGGCAAGGCCGCTCCGCTCGCAGAATGTTCATTTAAAAACGCGGGCATGGATTCTGGTATTGTGGGTCAGGGGCTTTTGGCTGTGACAGCAGCGATCCGGTTGGCTTCGCCCCCCCCCCCAAACTGTCCTTCGCTAGATCGGTCGGCCCTGTGCGAGTTGAGTTGTGGTTGCTTCAGGAAATTCTCCAAGGTGTCCTTCTAGCGACGTGACTGACCTCCGTGTCTGCCAGCACGCTTGAAGACATCTCCAAGGCAAATCGTTTCGATAAACGCTCATTGTCCATCCTCACATGGTGGTCACTCCATCGTAATTGTGATCGCTGCAGCATGGCGTGAATACTAAGGATTCCCGTCCGTTCCCGTCCGGAATCCTCTCCACGGTCTTCATTTGGGTGCAGTTATAAGGAGCAGTGCACGCAGCTTTGGGAGGCGGTTGATGCATGATCACCGTTTTGTCCGTGTGTTGGTGGTCAGCTCGAAGTTGCCGCAAAGAGATTCATGTCAGCGTTTTGAGAGCTCTGTCGTCCGCGAAGAGCAGGTCCTAGACAGAAGTCGCAGAGAGATGCGTTGAGGCCTCGGGAGGGGTTTGGCACAAAGAGTTATGGTAATTTGTTCAACAGATAGCATCGAGGAAGCGCTCCGAAAAATCCGCGACTTACTTTGCAAAAATGGGTATCCTGAGGAGTTTATCACAAAGAATATTGTTGAGAGACCGGAACAGCCCGCAAAAGAAAACGCTGTCACTCAAAGTCCCTTTTCAAGATGACGCTGGGAGTAAACTAGGAAGATACCTTAGTCAAGCTGTCTCGAGAACCTTCCCAACAACAAGGGTTCGCATATGATTCTCTACTAAGCCTATTTTACGCGAGGAAGGTAAGTGCAGGCTGCCACCTCAATGTGCATTACTCATTTACATGCTCCTGTGGAGCAGGTTATATCGATCGTACGAGTCGGCGCCTTTCCAAAAGAATAGAAGAACGCCTCCCCAAATGACTGGCAAAAGGCGAAACTGGGAGCCTAAGCATCGCCATTCTTTCGTATGTAAAGGATTCAGGGCATCGTATGGACACCGCTGAAGCATTTCGTGCGATTAAAAAGGTCCCCTCGAGCTACCCTAAGCTACTGGGCCAGCGCCTGTTAGCAACAGCAGAAGCGGCCGCCATCAGGTTACGAAAACTGACCCAGAAGAACTTCGTTCAGGCTCCGCGCTTACCGTGGTCAAGGTTAACTAACTACATACAACTTTCTGCGCCCTTCCGCTCTCGTCCCGTCTCTGTTTTAAAACTAAATTTATCGACTTTTCCGATCACTGTACCCCGTTCCGATATGACCTTAACAGCTTGACGAAAAGTTATCTAAAGCAACGTTCGCTTGCCCGCCTGGGAATTTTCACAACTCTAAAATCATAAAGACAACTGACTATCTTTATTGCCCTGTCTTGCTCCTGTTCGAAGAAATCAATGTATTTTCTTTTCCGCGGTATCTAGACTGGAATTCTGTAATCCAAATGAGGTCTCAAGATGTCCCAGAAAATATTGCAAACGCTCTAATCCAGTGCAGCGTACTAGTCGTCTTCTGAATCATTTTTTAAATGCTCTGATGACATCACTTTGTAGTCGTGCACATTCCCAGTTGTTTCAGGGTTCCCACACTCTATAATGTAATGCCGTTAATAAAGCGGGACAGGTAAGCTAACCTCGCGGGTCTATTTCGGATACCAAGACGAGGGGCCCCTCGCATCCCCTCCCTTCTACATCCTGTCTATCCTTAACGTTCTAGCTTCTGAAGTCAGAACTCTCAGTGCGTGGTTGGACTGCTTGAGGAAAAAAGTCATCCATAATCAAAGTGGAGTTTTGCCTTTTTGGAGTATTTATGTTGGACCTCACAGCGACACTTTTCTGTAAGCAGCTAGGAATTTTAAGCAAATTACAACTGCTAGAAAACGAGGGATCGTCTAGCCGTCTAGGATTATTGGAAAACTTCAGCTTTCTGGGACTTAGTGATTTACCTCGGGACGGACGTCTATCGAACTAACTACAGCCTCTGAGAAACTTGCCTATTGTCGTTTTGTGATCAGGATGGATCAGGTCACATCATTTTTCAGGGGACTATATATTCCTCCGCGTCATAACTGACAGAATTAACATACTCACCGACAATCTGGACTCTGGTTCAATTGCGTCAACACCTGGACTTGTGGTATTCTCGGTAACTCCGAGACTCAGAAGCCAGGGATTACGATTTTCAGCATCGTTTGTCCTTGTCATTTATACCTCTTAAAGGCCTTCCTCCGTTTTCTGCTGGTAGAAACCGTCTCTCTGTCAGGCTGACCAGTGCTGGAGAACTAGTCTCGCTAGAAAAGCATTTATGCCGTACGTCTACGCATTCTTCTAAGTCCACTCACAGATGTTGGTCTTGAGTAAGGTTGGCATGCTGCAAATCTTATCTTTTTCCATAAGTTTCTTATTGGGAAAGATTGTCTTTCGAAAAAGATTAAATGAAATCGAAGAAAAACTGAACTGAGACAAAGAAAAATTGCTAGGCGGTTCAGCTGACGTTAACTCCATTAAGCTGTTTACAGTGCGCGACCGATCCCATGAAGCGTTGGCCAAAATTCTGGAATGCTTTTCCGATTAGGAAGGATTACTTAGGTGGGGTTGTTATACGGATTATCATGCAGTATAACTCCATAACATTTCGGACTCGCCGGGATGTCGGCTTTTGAATGCACTTCTTTTTGACCTCCTTCAGAAACCACACTCGGTAAATAATGACTACTTATGCAACATGCATTTTTCTTATTGATTTTCGATAGTCTTACAAATTCAAATATATGTTACAGAAAGCATGCACAATAATATGCTTTCTTTTGGTCATTCGGTAGGAAATCTCACTGTCTTTACATTTTTGCCCGAAGATAGTGTGTATTTTGGTTTAAAAAAAGTTTTTAATTAGGAGTTTTTTAAGACTGTGCGATGTCTATGCATGGAAGACCGCACATGTCCGTTTACTAATGCTCCTCATGAAATGTACAATACAATCCGAGTCCATTACAAAATTTCACTAATTATGTGTGATATCTTCTTAAAGGTATAAAGGGTTACATGATTTTGCTTACGCGGAAAGCATGCACCGTGTACATTGATATTATTAAACGCTGATGTAATGACAGATCAGGCTGAAAATTATTTAGGTATTGGAAAACTTTTTTAAACCCAAAATAAACACTTTTCTTCGGGCATAAAGTACGAAGACAATGTAATTTCCTACCGAATGATCAAAAGAAAGCATATTATTGTGCATGCTTTCTGTAACATATATTTGAATTTGTAAGACTAGCGAAAATCAATAGGAAAAATGCATGCTGCATAAGTAGTCATCATTTACCGAGTGTGGTTTCTGAAGGAGGTCAAAAAGAAGTGCATTCAAAAACCGACATCCTGGCGAGTCCGAAATGTTATAGAGTTATACTGCATGATAATCCGTATAACAACCCCACCTAAGTAATCCTTCCTAATCGGAAAAGCATTCCAGAATTTTGGCCAACATTTCATGAGATCGGTCACGCACTGTAAATCAGATGTCGCATTTCCGTAATGACAGGTGGCCCACAGTTGTTTATTTTCGGGTCTTCATATGAGAGTGGGCTCAATAATTTGAAGACAGTCTATAATCTTCCCAAACGAGCAACGAAATTTTGCTCCCAGGCGAATGGATTACCTCAAAAGGTGCTCGTCTTAAAACCGCCTTTGTTAATTAGCTGACTAAAGTCAGGGGCATGGTAATCCCCTGCGACGAAAATCAAACTAAAAGGCATTTCCAAAGAACTTGTTGTCATTTTACTGGCCTTTACGAGAGAAGACTTTTTAAACATGAAGAAGCAGCGGTTATGCTGCACACTTGCTGTGAGTTCCGTAAGAACAATCGGTGAGCGCCCCTTACCATTGTATATTCCCGATCGAAAACCGACAGGGCAACGGGCTCGTGGCCCGGTGGGTAGAGGCGTGGACTTCTAAACCAACAGGTCGCGAGTTCGAGGCTCGGGTGTATCACACTTCGGGGTTGGGTATGACTGGCTGATGACGGCTAATAAGCCAGAAATGGTAATTCGAGTCTCTCTTGTCTTTGTCGGTAATATCATTCTTCATAAATATATGTACATCAGACGTGGTATGCATATATATAGAGAATGGCAGGTGGCGAGGCATTGATGAACTTCGGTTCGATGAAGTGTTTATAACCCATCTAGTAGGCCTCAGTGGTGGACCAACTGTGCCAAGTGTGTCTGTGCGCATGTTTGTGTTTCCGGCCCCAGCTGGTGATCCAGGTTATGATTGGCTGAATGAAGGCAAGCAAGCCCGAAACAGGGCTGTATCAATCTACCTCCAGATTCTGACGTCTCCCCTCTGCTATCATAGCTTGGCCGACTTTGGCCTGGTAGGTGGTTGCCTGCTCGTGACCCCTATCGCCCATACGAAGCTTGTTCGCTTCGGGAAGCCAATAGATCGGTGTGCGCCCATTCCTGAGTAAATATACATATATATATTTAATCAGGAATGGGCGCGCATCGATAAATTGACTTCACGAAGCAAGCTCCATATGGGTGTCAAAGGTCACAAACAGGCAACAAAGTATCCGGCCGAAATCGGTCAAGTCATAAAAGCAGCAAGGGGAGACGACAGAGAATGCGGGTAGATTGATACAGTATTGTTTCGGGCTTATTGTGTCTTCATTCAGTCAATCATATACCTGACCAATATATACATTTACATATATATTGATGAAAAACAAGTCGCTTAGGAAGTTTAACAAACTTTATTTTGCAAATTTTAGACGTTCGTCGTCAGGCGTGCAGAAAGCGTGAAAAACAGTTAAAATTTAAACCTCCATCGACAAGGTGATGAGACGTCTTGCAGGAAAAAAACGAAAATTATGAGCAATTGC